AACCACTGTGGAGAATAATTTGGAGATTCCTCAAAAATCTACAAATAGATCTACCATATGATCCAGCAATCCCATTCCTTGGTATCTACCCAAAGGACAGAAGAATTCTTCATTGGAAAAGTGCTTGCCAGCAATCCCACTCCTGGGTATCTAACCAAAGGACAGAAGAATTCTTTATTGGAAAAGTGCTTGCACATCAATGTTTATTGAGGCACTATTCATGATTGCTAAGTCATGGAACCAGCCCAAATGCCTCCATATGGAGGAATGGATTGAAAAACTGTGGCACATATACTCTATGGAATACTACTCAGCCATAAAAACCAACAAAACCCTGTCTTTTGACAGAAAGTGAAAAAATATGGAGGATTTACTGCTGAGTGAGGCAAGCCAGGCTATGAAGGAGAGACATTGTATGTCCCCACTTAACATATACCGAATGTCTGCACTCTATGACTGAAACTGACTAACGGTTGTACAAGATGGATATGGAGGTAGAACATTGATGGGATGGGGAAGTGTGGTGTAATCGGTTGAAGATATTTTGATCAACAGGACTGGGGAGAAATGTTCACATATTGAAATGCTCACATTGTAAGCTAAACAATGCGATTGAATGTATATACAAAAAGAAATAAATTAAATTTAAAAATTTAATGTAAGCCATTACCAAGAAAACATCAAAATAAATTTATGGAAAACTGAAGAAAGATATTAATAAACAAAAAATCAAAATAATAAGTTATTAAGTAGAGAATAGAAAGAAAAATTATAGAATAAGAAAAAACAAAGAAATAGTTCTTAGAAAATATCAGCAAAACAAAGAAATAGTTCTTAGAAAATATCAGCAAAACAGAGAAACCTCTAGAAAATCTACTTAGATAAGAAAGATAAATAAATTTTAAAAAGATGATTTGATTGATGGATAGATGATAAAGCAAATATGACAAAACATGGTAAAATCTATGTAGTAGTTATGCAGCTATAAAATTCCTTCAACTTTGTTGTATGTTTGAAAGTGTTCATAATAAAACATCTTGTCATCCAGAACATCAGTTTCTGAAACATTGTACTAGAAGTTTCATTCAAACTAGAAGATAGATAAAAATGCCCATTGTTGCCTCCACTGTTGAACGTTCTTCTAGAAGTTCAGTAAAACATAACATGTCAAGTAATTACATAAAGGAATTATAAATATGAGATGTAAGGAAAATAATTATTTGCAAATGATATCGTTATTTATCTGAAAAACTAAAGAGAATTAATAGAAAAATTATTAGATCTGGGATCAGCAGTTAGCGTAGTGGCTATGTCGCTGGACTCCCATGTAGGCAACCGGGGTTCGT